TAACATATACATAATAACTTTCTGCAGCTTGGTATTTTACCATTTTTTATGTTCCAAAAAATAATTGATTAGAGGATGTTTACACTCTTAAAGAACACTCAAACTAACAAAAACTATCTAAAGTTATAATAGATTTACATGAGTTTCTAAATCAAATATAACACTATATAAGTAATTTTACACTCAAAATTTAACAAATAGTATAATCTGATTTCTATACATAGTTATTACTTATATCTAAACCAACATTATTAACACATGAATAACACATTCTAAAATTTTATTTAAATAATAAAGTATAACAAAATTATAAATCAAACACAAATTGGTATATGTAGACAAAATATTCAAATTAAAACATGTAGAAAGCACACAATATATAAAAACAGTAAAAAATAAGGTGAAGACTCCACACTACCAATCTTACAAATTTCAAAACCAAAATTATCAAATATTAGACTGAAAAACAAAATATCTCAAGATATAAACTAAAATTCATTGAAGACCTTGTGGAGAAGCAAGAAACGGTTTTGCACGATTATTATAGCTTCCTAACAAAATTAAATGCAAATCAACATGGGTCCCAACAGATTATATATATAACATCAATAAGATATTCGATAAAAAAAAACTAAATATTTGAACATATAAACCTTAAAAAAAAGGTATAGAAATCGTATAGAAAACAAAAAAACATCAAGATCTTAGCAACAAAATCATTCTCTAAATCAAATGTACGTCAAAGTTGGATAATTTGATAGGTGTCATTGTTATTATTTTACTTAATAAAATTTAATAACAGAAAAAACTACAAATTTGATTTTAAATTATATTATATAAAAGAAATTTATAAAGCTATTATAGTTTTGATAATTTAAAAGATAAAAACTAAAAAAAGAATCAAACTATGAATACAGACTAACGCATAGCACGAATTATAAACTTAGTTTCATTAATAAATAATAACTATACATTAAAAAAACCAAATGTGTTTATGACGCAATCAATTTTCCTTATTTTTTAATGTTAAAATCCTAAAAAGCAATTTAATTAAATTCAGAAGGCAGTAAACTATGTTACTTTATTCAACAACTAGTTAATCGTCACAATGTTCTCACACATTTATCTTATCATTTCTGAGAACAACATAGAAAAATGAATGGAATCACTACACGCTAGGTATTACGCTGGTAATTTAATAATTAGACTTTCAAAATCAGATACAAATCATACGTTTCCATAAGTAAAATTAACATTTTAATGTTAGTTGTACAAAGCGCCTTTTTTTACAACTAAGCAAAACCAAATTAATCGATTGAATTGAGTACAAATACGCAGAAGATATGGTACAAAGGTCCTTTCAGACCATAAATAAATTACATAAATAAATAGTATGGTAAATTGCATGTGAAACGATATAACAATAACAATCATGGCCTAGCCCTTCATATAAGGTTTTGACTTTTGAGTATTAAAAGTGAAAGGGGATAAACTCGAATGTCCCTAGATTTCTCAAATTTATTTGTTCTTTTCCCACGTCCTTCTCTTTAGATCTCTCGATTAATATGATTATATGATACCCCAACCCATACCGAAGAATAAAAATTCAAATAATACTTTACAAAACTATATGCATTTAACATACGATTACTCCGTTTTTAGTAATTTTTTTCCAACATGGCAATGGATGCTTATCCATGTTTCACTTCAACTTTGATTTAAATTTTTGATTTTAGAATATTTCAAAAGTGGGCTTAACTGTTTATTCAGTACTCTAAGTCTTTAACTCACTTAGTTTGGTAACCGTTCGAGTTCCATCAATATTGTTAATGACACTTTTTATTATAATATTCTCATGCAGTGGTATTAATTATTTGTGTTATAGCATCGTAAAATAACGCAAACATTTAGAAAATTATAAGTAAATAGAAACAAGTCGACAAATAAAAGACTTGCAATTTGTAACGTTAGAGTTTTGGTATGAAATCTTTTGGTTAATATCATATAATGGCCGTATCAAAAAAAAATTTAAACTTTGGAAAATAATAAATATGTGATGTATATATAGAAAAAGGAAATATCCTATAAAATCTAGAAAAAAATAAATTTAAAAGTAGAAAGTTTAATAAATATATGATAAACTCGATTTGATATTTATCTATAAAGAAAAAAGGAAACTTAATAGTGAAAACCCTGTGTTATGCTTAAGTTTTTTTTTTAATATAAACATCTTGACATCTTATTCACAATTTTTCATAGCTTCTTTTTTTATTACGGTTTTATAGATTTTTATTATATGTTTTTTTTTATCTAGAGTTCATCTAAATATGCTTTTAAATCCCCTCAAAAATATGTATCGGTAGTGAAATTTTTATTTTTATATGTTTGTGATAACGATTTATCTATTATTCTCAGTTTGTTTTGAGGTTCTGATTTGTTCTTCTATACTTTATTAGGATTCAACGATCATGGTCTGAGAGCATGTGGATGTAATTCTGGTACGTTCTTATGTTTATAGAAAAATGGTTAATTGGTCTTTATATGTGTTTTATGTTGTCGTCAATATTTTATCTAATTTCTCACTTTATTTTTTGATCAATGTAGGCATAAAAAATACATGCTTCGATATAAGATGTATGTTTGGATCGATCTACAAATTGCTACATGGTTATTAAAAGGTGATTTTAATATTTCTGATATCTTATTTTCTTTAGTGGTTTTCTTCTTATTTGATTATTCCGTGTATTGTTCTCTATCGATTGCTATGATATTAGATCTAAATTTTAGAAGTTTAAACTTTTTATTCTTTATACGTCAAAATGATGGTAACAGATAATTGTCAATAAAGCTTGTGACCTTGGAGTATGAATTAGCGTCTATGCTTTTATAATTAAAGGTGAGCTTCTTATAAATATTTGAGTCTTTTTGTATTTTCTTACAGTTTTTCTGTAATGTTTATTGATATTAAAACGAATGACAAGTGTATCAACTGACAGTTAATTGAGACTGGTGTTTAATAGTGATGTTCGTAAAGATATGTCTAAAATCTTAAGCTATAGATTGGTTTTCTAAAAGAAAATAAATTATCCACAAAGTTTTCGTATGAGCTGCATAAAATGAGGAGAAAAATCTTTAAAAGTGAATTTAGAGAGTGGGACGCACTGTAGATCTAGAGAAGGAATTCTACATCGCCACGTAGATACATAATGTGGGCGTTTACACGTGGGATACAACAAGACACCGCGTAGCTGATTATTCCATCTTTTGATTTATAAGACAACAAATTTATTCATATTTTTGGGTAATTTCTCTCATTGACCTTTGGGAAGATTATTATATTCAGTCGACGACACTAATAAGTATATAACGTGTGAATCCACGTGGGATGACAGATGGGAGCGAAGTCCAGTGCTTGGCATGTAAGTTTTGTTTACTTTCAACACGGTTCATCAGAAAATGGACCAGTACTTCGCTGACTATCTTATTACTTCTTCTTCTTCTTTTTTTCTTTTTGTATGTATGTGATTATTTTTACAATTTCTTATACATCAAAGACACACAGAGAGGCAAACCCCACAAATCTTTAGATACAAATAACATTATCCAGTTTTGATTCACTGTTCTAATCTTTGTCCCATTACTATTTCTATCATTGTATTTACTGCAATCACGCGGCTATAAAATGTACTACCATATTTTGGGAATCTTGACAGTTGTCTATATGATAATTAATAATCAAATTTATACACAAATGCACACCGGATCCAAAAGAAATGAAGAAGCAGAGATTACATATATCCATGTTTTTTTTCGATTCGTAGATATACTTGTTTTGTACCCACTGCAAAAATAAAGATATTCATAAAATCACTGTTAGCAAATATTGTAATTTGGAAAAAAAATGAAATGAACTGTATTGTTTTTAGCACCCGGGAATTTACAATATCAACAAAATTTTGTTCGCTAATATCTTCTTTATTGATTGGAACGTTAGATGATGTAACTGTTTGTTAAATTAAATATAATCTCTCCTCCACCGTGTAATGACAATTTATATATTATGGTACCACTTCTAACTTTTAAAAGTATATTGATCTAACCTTTGATTCAAAATACATTTTATTAATCTAACCTATGATTTTCTCTGGTTCCATCGTGACCACCATCATCTTCAATCTCTTCTCTTCATCTTCGATGGGTTTTAGTTCTGGGTTCTAATATTCCTGTAATGGGCTTCGTTCTCTATTTGGACTTGACAATTAAGTACTTGGTTTTTTTTAGGTTTTTTGGGTAAAACATTCTAAGGTTTGCTCATGTAATGATGGACACCTTTGCCTCATTTAATTTAATACAAGCAAAAGTTGAAAAAAAAAATACATTTTATTGTTTGCGCAAAGAATAGGTAATTAGATTTAAGATGAAGATTTTGATAAGCATTTAGAAAGAGAAAAAAAGAGAATTATTATGGAAAAAGGAAACTCTAGTGGGTCAATTGACCATAAAAGCCAAAAATGATTATTTATTTTGAGGTTTGAGGAAAGCATAAAATGAAAAAAGAAAGAATTTTTTTTTTTTGGTGCGTGATAAAAAAGAAGAATAATAATCAGACTGTGACTCGTAATTAACCCTCCAACGAATAAAGAAGTCATGAGCTGATTCGAGAGAGAAGGGAACTCTCGGAAACCATCAAGATCATGAGCGAACAACAACAAGAAGAAGGCTCAATGAGTATGGGAAAGAGCAATCTCTCAAGTTTCTTCAAAGTCTTATCTTCTTACAACTCCAATGTCCTCTTAGCTGCTCTCGGAGGAGAAGAAGAAACCGGAGGAGAACAATCACAACGACAAGAATCATACCTTCTGTTCCACAGGTAAGTTTTCGATGGTATAGTAGTTTCTGCTGCAGCTGGAACAAGCGATGACAAAGGTTTAGATTCTTCAGTGATATCTTCGATTCGTCTGCGAAGATGAGGAGAAAGACGAAGAAGAAGAGTGTGTGATATGTCTGAAGACGAAGAAGAAGAGTGTGTGATATGTCTGGGATTGTGGGAAGTGGGAGATTTCGGCAGAAAGTTGAGAAATTGCGGACATGGGTTTCACGTAGAGTGTATAGATATGTGGTTGTCTTCTCATTCTACTTGTCCTATCTGTCGATCCTCTGTTCTCGCCGCCTCTGATCAAGACAACCTCAAGCCGGCCGTTAATGGCGTGGAAGAAGAAGCAGAGGTTAGATTGCAATTGTTTCCAGACGGGGAAGATGAGAACGTCGCCGCCGGTGATCGGAGATTTTCACTGTCTCTTGCTGTGATGGAAGATAATTTCAAAACAGGGGTTGACGACGGCGACGGTGACGGTAACCATGACGTCGTAGAAGAAGGAGAGGTTAGAATTGAAGTGTTTGATGAGGAGGAGATCAACGGCGGAGGATCAAGAGGTGATAGGAGATCAACGTCGTCAACGGCGTCATCGGCATCGAGTTCGTTGAAGAGGATGCTGAGTAGTAGAAGTAGATCGGAGTGTAGCAAGGTGTACCCGTCGTCGACGCAAGATTCGTCTTCGTAAACAATTTACATATATATCAAAATAAAAAAATCTTATGAACAATTTTGGAAATGGAATATGAATAACCAAAAGCCTCGTGCGGTAAAAATGAAGGTGTATACAAAAGAGGTAATAATCTATTTTGATTGAGCTTCGGTTGAAGCTAATGATTATGATTACGACGTGACTTTTGTCGATGTGTCATCAAATACTCGCGCAAGTGAAAAGGCAAAATCAAAATCATAGAGATAAACAGAGTGGAGGAGACAGTGGGCAAAGGCAATTCAATTATCCAGAGATTTTCTTAAGTTTATGTTTCTCCTTCTCATAGGATTAGCAAAAACCAAATCAATTCAGAAACGTCCATACTTAACAAAAGAACATGAGAGAGTGAGCTTGCAAAAGTTAGGTCTGTAGTTTACTCCAATTGTTGTGTTTACCGGGATAGATGTTACTAAAATTCGTGCAACAGACAGTAACTTGTTCTGCTGTTCAAGAAAGTCAAACCCATTAAATATAAGACAGAGTAATAAAATTAACACTAGAGTTGTGTCTAGAGTAATAAGTAGAAGTTGACACTAGAACTGAGTTTTTGATATAAATACGTAGATCTCATTCGTATATCTCGTGACGCCTTTTGGGATTAGGTTCTGAACTTTCGCTTTCGCTTTCGCTACCGCTACAAGAAAGGTATTCGACGTGCCCAGGCCTACTAGTTACGAAGCGAACCCTGTAGTGACATGTCGATTGCAAATAATCCCACATCCGGGAGAGAGACGGGCTATAGACATAATCTGAGACTACGATCAACTGTGGTGGATCAGAATGCTCGTTAGGAGAGTCCATATGCCATAAAAGAATGTCATTTAACATTCTATTACGTCCCGAGGCCCCTGGAAAAAACTGACATGTTAGATTACATACACATATAACAAGAGAGTATTTGGAGAGCTCAAGTAAAAATTATTCACCTCCGGGAAGAAAGTAGAAGTAGATTCTGGAATCCCACGTCTTGTCACGCAGATGCAGATACCAAGACCCCTCCTTCTCGTGAACATAAACATAGACTGTAGGGCGCAACCTACGAAGAGAATATACCATTTTGTGATAGATGATATCAGGATGATCGAGATCAGGATCGCAATAACGAGGAAACGGGACATCCTCCAAGTTCCAGAAGACGGCCGTCTGCTCCCCTGTGGTTCGCTCTGCAAGGCATAAACGAATTACGAAATGAAGATACAATTAACCATTATTTAATGAAATCTAAACAAACAATTTCCGAGGTCTTAACCGGAGATAAGAATACCAGTGTCTAGACTTTTGCTTTCACGTAAAACTTGTGAAACCTCTCCTCCACCTAACACTTGTGTACAATCAGCTAGTGATAGTATTGACCAATCTTGCGCGGTGTCATCCACTAGGACAACAGTGTGGTTTCTGGATTTCAAACACTGCTGAACCCTCTGCAACTCCCCTTCTGGCCTCTGTTTAGCGATTACCAAAAACTTTGATGGTCCCCTCGTGGCTGCGCATAACAGCATGTCCAGAGGCATTCTGGAATCAGCCGAACAGTCACCGATTGAACCTATATATCAAAAGACATCTTTGGGATTACAGACATATAATTAAGTGGAAACGACTAGAGTGTTCGGAGTATAGGAATTTACTTTCGGATAAGTGGTACGTTATTCCGGTCTTGCTCAATCTCTCTATGCCGTCGTTCGGATGGTCACCATACGCCCAGATTTCCGGAATCCCATTAAAGCCCATTTCCTCAAGATCTTCATCGATAGACAAAACAATAGAACAAAAATCGTACTTATCAGGGAATGGGTAGTCGTCCGAGTTCCAGAAGACTTGTATTACTTCTTCGGCTGCATGCTCTATGAGTTCGCTTTTGGAACCAAAAAGGATTGCTGTTTCAGCTAATAGCAGTCGAGGCCATTCAGGGCTTTCTGCTTTGTTCACGTCCTGAGTCGGAGTTACTAAGCTAACACGGAAACCTGATGTCCCATTCAAATCTTCATATGTGCGGAAGAAATCCGTCCCCTCTCTGACTTGATCTGAGACTAGGATCATCTTTGCTGGATTAGAATGGTCCACAAGACAGTCCATTTCCCATAAAAACATGTCATTCAACATTCTTTCAGGTCTCGAGGCCCCTGGAAAATAGTCAATGGAACTGAGATATAGATTACAACATACATATAAGAAGAAAAAAAAGTGTTATATAAAAGATTTCTCACCTCCGGGAAGAAAGTAGATTCTGGAATCCCACGTCCTGTTACGCAGAAACTCACCACTCCAAGGCCCGTCGTTATTCTCATCGACATAAGCCCAGATTGATATCTCAGCTGTACAACCACTTCCACGAAGAGCTTCCTCGATTCTGCGATATATCTCATCAGGATCGGAACAAAGAGGGAATGGGCAATCCACGACGTCCCAGAACACGGCTGTATTATCCCCTTTGGCGTGTGTGATAGGCTCGGAGAAATCTTGGATCTTGGAGCTTTTGCTTATAGGCTTCTCTCCATCTAACACTCGTATACGTTTAACCACTGATTTTAAAGATTGTGCGGTGTCATCTACTACGATAGCAGTGTGATTTCTCGATTGCAAACACTGAAGAACCCTGCGCCACTCCCTCTCTGGGCTTTGTTTTGCGATTATCAAAAATGTTGATGGTCCCGTCGTGGCTGCGTGCATAATCATATCCAGAGGCATTCTGGAAACAGCCGAATAGTCACCCCCTGAAGTTATATATATCAACAGAGACGTTAGGGAATATCATACGTAGAAAGGACAAGAGTGTCACGAGTATAAGAACTTACCTTCGGGTAAGAAGTACTCGACTCGGGCCTTCCGCAACGCAGCTCTGCCGTGGTTCAGACGGTCACCATACGCCTGGAAGTACGTGTGCCCACCAAAGCCCATTCTCTTAAGGGCTTTTTCGATATTACGGCGAAAAGAAGGAAGACGGAAACCATCAGGGATTGGGTAGTCCTCCAAGTTCCAGAAGACTTGTGCATCCTCTTCATGTGTCTCGGGAGAAGGTTCGAAAAAGTATGCTTCATCTATTAGCAATTGTGGCCAGTCAGTGCTATCTGGATCGTTGATGTCCCGAGTCGGAGTAACTAAGTTAACAAAGACACAGTTATCACTGAAATATTCAAGCCTATCGAAGAAGTACGTGTCATCTGTGATCTGATCTGAGACTACGACCAATCTTGTTGTATAACGCTCGGCAGGAGAGTCCAGTGACAACAATAAAAGAATGTCATTTAACATTCTTTGAGGTCTCGATTCACCTCCGGGAAGAAAGTAGATTCTGGAATCCCACGTCTTGTCACGCAGACACTCACCACTCCATGCCCCGTCGCTACTCTCATCGACATAAGCCCAGATTGACGTCTCACCCCAGGGTGAGAGAGCTTTGTCGATTTTGCGGAAGATCTCATCAGCATCGGAACAACGAGTAGGGAATGGGCAATCCACGACGTCCCAGAAGACGACTGTCTTATCCCCTTTGGCGTGTGTGAGAGGCTCGGAGAAATCTTGGATCTTGGAGCGAGCTTCCAAGATTTGGGGGACTCGAGTACATTGAACTAGTGTTTCTACATCATCAAAAGCGGTGTCATCAGGGGGCTCTAGTACGAGAACAGTGTGATTTCTGGATTGCAAACACTGAAGAACCCTGTGCCACTCCCTCTCTGGGTGTTTTGCGATTACCATAAAAGTTGGTGGGTCAGCACTCGTTGCTGCGTCCTGAATCATATCTATAGGCATTCTGGAAACAGCCGAACTCAAACCCCGTGAAGCTATATATATCAACGAGCAGAGATGTTTGAGATTACAGACAGAACATATAAGTAGAAACAACGACAAGAGTGTTATGAGTAAGGGAATTTACTTTCTGGTTCGAAGTAGGTGATTTGGGCCTTCCGCAACTCGACCTGGTTCAGATGGTCACCATACGCTTGGATATCCACGAACCCATGAAAGCCCTTTCGATTAAGAGCTTCTTCGATATTACGAATAGCAGAAGAAAGATGGGCACCACAAGGGATTGGGTAGTCCTCCGAGTTCCAGAAGACGATTGTATCTTGACAAACAGACAAAGGTATAAACAAATTACGAAATAAACATGAAACCTCTAACAAACAATTTCAAGTAAAAGATGGAGAGACATCTTACTGGGGAAATCTTCCATCTTGAAGAGAATTGGAACTGGACGCTAAATTAGGGTTTGAGAATTTCAAATCTACCTCTATTTTATATATATACAAAAATTTAGATAAAAATTATTTCCAATCTATCTTTATTTTTTTCTTTTAAAATGCTATTTTTTCTTCATATTTAGAATAACTCTATTTTTCCATTATCATATAAATAAATTTTTATATTAGTAAATTGGTCTTCAAATATTTAAATCCTTATATTTTTATTTACATAACAAATATATAGATTTAATTAATTATTTATATAAGTTATTTTTTATATAATTTAATTTAATATTATTTTGTACTAAACATATAACAAATAATATATAATTATTAATAAAAATTAGGTTTTAGTTTATTTTCCTATAAACATATGTGTTTGGTTATATTATTGCATAATAATAAAAATATGATTTTTGTTTTTCAAATAATTTTTTCGATTTTTCTTTTATATTTTGTAAATGTATATAATTTAATTATATTAATTAGAATTTTTATTTTCTTATATTGTTACATAATAATAAATATTTAAAAATTATTATTTGTTATTTTTTTCGTAAAATATTTTAAATTGTGTAATTGTTTATAATTTAATCTTATACATATATAGTTATTATAATTATAATTTCGTTTTATATAAACTTGGATGTAATTAATTCTAAGATTAATTAAAATTTTCAAAATAACTATTTATTAAAATATTTATATTATTTTAATGTGTTTGGTAATTAGAGTTAAACTAATCCAAAATGTATTTAAAAATTAATGTGTTTGGTAATTAGAGTTAAACTAATCTAAATAGTATTTAAAAATTAATGTGTTTGGTAATAGGAATATAAGAATTAAATAAAGAAAAAATAAAATGAATATTAATTGGTTGTATTAACAAATGACTAAACTACCATTAATGAAATTCTAAAAGTTAAAATGCAATGGTATTTCATGTAATATAACACATGATTTATGTTTAAACATTGAAGTGATCCTCTTTTAATAGTGTAGATTTAAAAGCATCATGATCAAATTTAAAAAAACTATGATTAATTAACAGTAAATTATAATAACCATATAATTTTATTTAAATTATATTTAGTCCTATGAATATCTAATGAATCGATTTTGTAATATTTTATTAATATTCGATTACTAAAATTATGGGGCAAGCTTCCCAAATAAAAATAAAAATATTTTGTAATTAAGAAACAGTAACTGCATAAATTTAAAGCATATTCTTAAAAATATTGATTTTAGCATATTTTCAAAAATATTACAAACAATATTGATAAATTATTTATTCTAGATGTAATAACATATTAATAATAGGAAAAATCAGTAAATTAATAAAATATTTTCATAATTTACAATTAACATAATAAAACTATTTATGATAATAGTATTTCAATAAACTATAAGAGAAATAAAAACAGTAACTCACATTATCTCATTTTCTCTAATTTGTTTTGGTTAATTTTTTTCCCTATTTAGATTTTCAAATATAAAATATCTTTGCAAACATCAATATTTTTTAGTCGAAATTAATTTTTTATATATTAAATATTTTGTTTCAGTTTGTTTACTATGTATATAGTTATTATTTTTAATCTTTTTAGTTTTAAATTTATCATTTTTTGTTTGACAAAGAAGAAAAAAAACAAATAAGAAGGAGAAGAAGAAGGAGCAGAATAAAGAGAAGGGATGGATGAGAAAAAGAGTAAATGAAAAAGAATAACAACAGAGTAGAAGAAAGAGAAAAAAAATAGAGGAACATGAGAAGAAGGAGAATAAGTGATAAAAAAGAAGAAGGAAAAGAAAGGATAATAAGAAGAGATGGAAAAGAAGAAAAACGAATGAGAAGAAGTAGAAGTGATGACGAATAAGACCAATAGATAAGATGAAAAAAAACATAAAAGGAGAACGAAGAAGAAAGCGAATGGATGAAGAAGAAGAAGATATAAAGGCGGAAGAGAAGAAGAAGACGAAGGATAATAAGGAGAATAAGGGATGAAGAAGAATATGGATACATAGAAGAAGAATAAGGGAGAGGAAGAACAACGAAGGAGAAGGAGAAGAATGAGAAGAAAGAATGAAAAAGAAGAAGAAGAATGGATGGAGGAGAAGACGAAAGAGTAACCAAAAGTTGTTAACTTGACTGGTAAATGATCTAGACAAAGCTTAGAGATCACATGATCGAGTGACGCTTAGGATTAAACTAATATTACATGATGTGGTTTTGGACCTGCAGAGATTGCAGGCTTCGGCCCAAACTTTCATGGTAATCCAAAAAAAGAAGAACGAGAAAAATGGAGAAAAAGAAAAACAAAGGATAAAAAAGAGAAGGAGAAGAACAAAAATAAATGAAGGGAGAGAAGAAGAAAAGATGAAGAAGAAGCAGGAGAAACAGAAAGAGAAGAAAAGAGACAAAAAAAAAAGAAACATATAATAGAAAAGAGAAGAGAAGAAACATATAATAGAAATGAAGAAGAAATAATAGGAAGGGAGAAAGAGAAGAAAAAAACTAAATACAATATTAAAAGACATAAATTTCACATAAAACCAATAACATATTATCATATTTTACAATAACAACTCGTGTGTCTACAATATTAAATTAGTTGCACATAACTTATATTATCTTATTTTTAATTTTATATTTTTGTATTTACAAAATTTAATTTCAATCCTCATAACACATAAATAAACAATATATTATTAATATAATTATAGTTTTTTTTGGTAGGAGGGGGTGAGGGAGACATTGTCTCCTTATTTTATTCAAAACATAAAAACCAGCTACACACAAACTCTTCTTGGGCGCGCAGAACCGATCATATAGTAACTGAAAATCGAAACTAAACTAGGTGGAACCGAATCTAAAAACTAGACATCCAGAGGAAGGGAAAAAGCAGAGTTAGCTAATCCATCGGCAAGACAATTAGGTTTTCTGTTAAAAAAAAAAGACAATTAGCTTTTCTATACACATATAAAAAACAGACTATCCATTCTCTCGAAATAAAGCCATGATACATATGTACCAGAAAACAGACTATTTTATAATATCATATATAATAAATCTTCTTATACTACATAATTTAAACATTTATAAAATTTACTTCAAGAGTCATATACCTGCGCGGACGCGCAGGTCCAACATCTAGTTTTATCTATTAAATTTAAAAATATATTTTACAATATCTTAACTAATCAAATTAATGACAAATCTTTAAAAATATTTTTAATTTAAGATAGTGTTTCTGTGTTATGGATATTTTCAAATAAATAATTAAAATTTATAATTAAGTAAATACATGATATCGAATATTTGGAAAAATAAATATCTATATCAATATAAACTTAATAAATTTTAGAAATTATAAGATTTGACAAAGCGTATTAATAGAACATTAAATTCGCTAGATACACTATAATAAACATATTTACTTATTGAAATTTTAACTTTTTACAATTTCAAAAACATTTATTTCCAAAATATCCACTAATTAACATTTAGATCTTAAATTATATATAAAAAAAGTTTGCAAGAAACTTAATAATATATAAAATATTTCTTAAAAAAAACTTTATTGTATTATATTTGACTACTAATTATACATGACAAAATATTCTTCATGAATAAAAATAAAATTTAAACTTGGTTATGAAAAGCAAAATGATTAAAAATGGCATACACAAAATAGATATAAATATATGATATAAAATTAAAATATATATAAATTAAAATTAAAATTAATTTAATTTTTTATTAATATTTTTAAATATACTATTTGACAATTATTTTATGATAAATATTACTCCGCATAAATGTGCGGGTAGTAACCTAGTAATCAATAATATTAACAAATCGAGCAATATAAAAATGTAAATATAATAATTTAAATAAACCTTTTAAATAAAGATGACAATATAATTATAAAATTTGATAGTAGTTAATTATAAGAACTTATCATTAATATTAATATTATTATTAATTAATTAATTAACATATTGGGTTTTGGTTAGCTTCGGTTTAAAATCAAATCAAACCGAACCATTCATATGATAAAAACTTTAACCAAAATGTTTTGGTATAGTAGAAACTCTAAAAATTAATAAACTCGATAAATTAATAAATTCGATAAATTAATAATTTTGCTCGGTTCCGAGTTTGACCGGTTCAAAATTTAATACAAATAGATAAATTAATAAGATAATAATTTTTTTAAAACAACCTATGTAAATAATATATCATGGTTTTTAACCATGTTATAAGTCTTTTTTATCGAGTCTTTTTGGTCTTTTTAGAGCCCTAGTATAGTCTTTGCAGGTTATAACATGATGAGAGCATAATTAGAGATATTGGAGCTTTTGAGATCATTGCAAGCGACCCTGAAGTTACCAAGTCAGAAGCCGTTACACTGCAGTGGTGACGCTCGTCACACACCTCTGAAGAGAATCGCGATGTTCTATTCTAAAGATGGAGAGATTTTGCACTTTAGCCCAAGAAATTCTACTATTTACAAAAGTGTCTCAATTCGTGTTTTAGGTTGTATATATTAGGTTTTCAGCTATTATTGGCTTTTATCTTGTATCTTATAATTCAGAGAGCTTTTGAGAGAGATACACATAGCTTTTGAGGGAAACAAATCCTGTACTCTTTAGAATATTTCAAACTCTTGTCTCTCTTATCTTTTTATTACAGTTTATTTTAGCTATGCTTTGTGTTTTCATAATCATGTCTGAGTAATCTGTTAGTTAAGTTAGGGTTATTCAAAGGTTGATGAAGAGTTTGTAGAATTGCAACTGTTAGAAAAATCCATTGGTTCTTCATTTATCCTTGCATTCATATCGATTTCTTAGACTAATCATCTGGGTTTTGAAAACCTAGGTTGTTTAATAGATTTGAGAACATTGTTAATCACCTGAACTAGTATTAGCTGAGCAAAACGCCTATTTGCAAAGAGATTTGATTTAGGAATTTTGTGAACAATCAAAACCTGATCCTTAATGTTT